AAAAAAAAAAAAAAAAAGCGAAGCACTCCCCCTTTTCCCGGTGGTCTCGCCCTCCTTCCCCGTTCCCGGTGGTTTCGCCCATTCCCGCCCTCTCAGCTGAGCTCTATGGTTGGCCGTGCCTAGAGTGCCCCCAGCTCGTCATCGCGGCGCTCTGCTGACGTCACCGCGTCGCTTCGCTCTCCTCCGCCCCGGTGCGCCGCTGACGGAAGTGGCGTCACTTCCGTCTCCCGCCGCCTGCCGGGATCGTGGCGGAGCGGCGCGGCGGCTTCCGGTGACTGGGGGTCGCGGAGCGGAGCGCGGGCCCCGCCGCCATGTCGACGTCGCTGGGCTCCAACACCTACAACCGGCAGAACTGGGAGGACGCGGTGAGCGCGGGGGAGGAGCGCGGCGGGTCTCTGCCGTCGGGGCCTGTCGCTGCCGTGAGGAGGGCGGGGGCCGCGCTGGGGTTACCCGGGGCCTCCATATGGGCAGCACTGGCTGGCAAAGGGAGCCTGCTGCTTGGGGCGCTCCCCCCCCTCGTCTCTCTACCGGGATTTGGGGTGTCAGATAGCTGGGGAGGGCTCCCGGCAGCTGGGAGGGCTGAGCTGGGCCCGTCCTGCGCCCGAGGCCGCCTCCCGTAGAGCTGAGGCCTTTCCTGGGTGGGCCCAGTGCAAACAATAGATGCTGAGGGATAATGTGTGTGTGGGGGTGGTGTCATCTGCTGCAGTCGGGTCGCTGAAGAGCGAACATCTCAAGAATATGCTTTTTGTTTGTTCTGAGTTTTACTTCAGACCGGAGCAGCTAGAAGATTGTGGTTCTTCCATAAAACGGGCTTTGGGTTGTAGCTTGCAGCTTTCCCAATGACTCTTTTTAAATGAGATTTTTTTTACATCTTTTAAACAGTCTGGTGAAGGCTGCTGTGATGATAGAGTTTGTTGCAAATTTCTGATTTTCCTTCATCTTACTCAATTCAGGACTTCCCTATTCTGTGCCAGACATGTCTTGGAGAAAACCCGTATATCCGAATGGTATGTGCCTGTTTGACCCTGCGGTCCTTTCCTCTGTGTTGGCCATGAACTGTTGAGGTCTGGGGACTGAAATAAGCCTGGCTGCAGGAGGAGATGCTGAGGTGGATGTGCACTTCTCATTAGTTGGTTCTGCACAACAGAATTTAGTTTCAGCCGTTGTTGGTCTGTGAAGATATGGCATTAGGTGTGCAATTTAAGAATAAATTAGTCAAAAAGGAGAGCAAGATGACATAGCCCAATGTCCAGAGTGTAGGAAATACTAGAAAACAGCTTTGGTACTAGTAAATTGGCAACATGGAGAACAGTGGGCTGCTGAAATACTAAATAGTTTAGCATAGTTTCTAAATTGTGAAAAATACGCACCTGTAAAAATAAGTTATAACTGTCTTATGAAGACTGCTCAGAGATAATTTAAATCATTGTTTGTTTACCTTGGTTTCCTCTGTCAGTCCATTTTATGTTGCTTTTCTGTGCTCAGTTGAGTTGTATATGACCTACATTTAAATTATCTTTCCTTCACATTTCTATTCCACCAAGTGTGCTGACAGAGATTAAGATATTTTTGTGAAACATAATCTTGCTGCCAGTGTAGGTGATATTTCAAAAGCTGCTTATTTTCATGGTTTATTTCATGTAACATCATCTTTGTTTAAAAAAGCTGTTAATATTCCATTTCATTTTTGCCTTTCATCAGTACATGAAGTAAGACTTCCAATACTGTGTTTTTAATGAATGTTTCTAAACCAAAAAGGATTGAGAGTTTTTTAGACTTTTTTTTTGTCTTGTTGACCTGCCAAAGCATAAGCCCAAAACACATGGGTAGGTGAGTCTAAATGCAGCATAATTAGGAAAATAACACTGTTCTGTAATATCAATGATATGTTTCATGTTTTATGTTGAATTAATGATAACTTTTTAAAAATTATATTTCAGACCAAAGAAAAATACGGAAAAGAATGCAAGGTATGTTTGTTGTCTTTTGAAGAAAGCAAGTCTAAATTGATGTACATCTAGGAATAATACATTTTAATGTTAAAAAAACCTGTCAGCTTCAGAAAAATGCTTATCTGGGTTAACAACTTAAAATATTTATGTAACCACATGAGTTTTTAGGTCAATTACTCTGCTTTGTTAGACAAAGTCAGTTGGTCTTAAAATAGTAAAATTATTGAAGACTGTTCAGATAGACTTACAATTGGCTCATGTTTATCAGAATTCAGGTTTTGTGAATATTATTGTGCTATATTTGAAGGTATTTCAGCATTTTAAATGATCTTCTAGTTTCTCTTGTGAGTTTGCTTTTACTCCTAAGTGGTGCATAAATAATTGGAGTTTAGGTTTTATTATGAATATGTTATTCGTGGCTGTGTGGTGATTTGTATTAGCTGTCTAAGAAATAAGCTGTGTTTATTTCTGAGAGCACACAAAATATTTAGTGTTTTCTTGACTGAGGGAAATTAAAGGAGTGTTTTGCCCCTTTTATCAATTGTCATCTGAGGTAAGGAGAGGATATGTGTTGAAATCTTGCCTCCCATCTGCAGACTGTATGTGCAGTGGAAGCAGATGCATCATTCCACTAGAGAAGGTAGAGAGCAGTAGTTGTCTCCTGGACCAAAAGTCTGATACCCTCTCACTGGGCTTGTTGGTGTGCTGGTGACCACTTTACACATAATGGGTCATTTGTCTTTAATAGCTCTTGACTGACATCACCTGGAATGAAGGAGAATTTCTTTTTCCTTTGAGTAGATCTGCTTTCAGCATTCAGGTGATTGTAATAAATAATTTTTTTAAAAAGCCAAGAGAAAACCTTTCTAAAACTTTCTCCTGTCAGTGTAAGGCACCGAATAGAAACAAATATTACTTGAGGTCTGAGTCCTGTCCATAGGATGAAGAAATTGTGTTTAAGATTTAAAGAGACTAGAAATGTTTTGGAGACTAGGTTTCCACGCAAGAACCAGAATGGTAACTTCATTGCTGTGTGACAGCGATACAAGTATTGACTTTGTCTTTCAGATTTGTGCCAGGCCTTTCACAGTATTCCGCTGGTGCCCTGGTGTTCGTATGCGTTTCAAGAAAACAGAAGTATGCCAGACATGCAGCAAACTGAAGAACGTCTGTCAAACCTGTCTGCTTGACCTGGAATATGGTGTGTACCAAAAAAAGTAAACTAAGAGAAGAAGTTGGTCTACTTACCTCTGAAATGAAAGTCTGTGAAATGTTTTTAAATGTGTGCATGTAATCAACACGGTTGTCTCTGGGCAGTCTTTGAGAAGCACAAGTCTTGATGATCACATCTCTTCTGAGGATAAGGGGCAGCATGGTATCCCTGAGCAGTAAATTTGTTATTTTGGTCTAGTGCGAGTTGCAATAACTATTTCTTCTCTTTCATGTGAATTTGTTGGGGTTTTTGTTTGTTTCATTCTAGGTTTGCCAATCCAAGTCCGGGATGCAGGACTCTCCCTTAAGGATGAAATGCCTAAGTCTGATGTCAATAAAGAGTACTACACCCAAAACATGGAACGAGAGGTGAGAAAGTATACTTATAATCATGGGCAAGGGGAGGAATGCCCTAGATTATCTTAAAATCATTTGTTAGCTCTGATTCTGTGCATTAGTTTTCAAATATGATATATACATAAATATTTGTGATTTAACTACCGTTCAGATATCCAATTCTGATGGCACTAGACCAGTTGGTGCGCTAGGAAAAGCTACTTCTACCAGCGACATGCTGCTGAAGCTGGCTCGGACCACCCCTTACTATAAACGTAACCGCCCTCACATCTGTTCCTTCTGGGTAAAAGGAGAATGCAAGAGAGGAGAGGAGTGTCCCTACAGGTACAGACACAGCTTAAACAGTTGATCTGTTCACCGCGGTCAGATACAGCTCCCCTTGGGGTTCGAAGAACAGGAAATGCTGCAGTGGGCAGAAAACAACACTGTGACTGGGGTCAGTGTGGAACTTGCATTCCGTTGGCACGCAGTGCCAATGAATGAATCTTTGTTGTGGCGAGTTGGTTTGAGAGGGATTAGCTGCGTGATCTTGTAGTGTTTTGCCTGCTGCAGCAGTGACTGCGGCTCTTCTCCTGTGTAGTTCATTTTTCTCCTTTGTGGCGTCGGTCCCCTCAATCAGAGATCTTTGTGTTTGAACAAGAGGCCATTTGAAATCCAGCTCTTGTATTTTGTAGTGTTAAATGCTGAGCTGTCAGAAGTGCCATTCATTCAGAATGTGAGGCAGTCCTGGATGCAACTTAAGTTCTGGGGGCTTTTTGTTCCATTTTGGCATGTTTATGTGAAGCATAGAGACCAGAGGCCTTCAGAAGGGAAGGTAGCAGTTATGTTAATCTGATGCAGCTGTGACTGGTGTTATGAAACACTTTGTTTGCTGAACCTTAGACACGAGAAACCGACAGATCCAGATGATCCTCTGGCTGATCAGAACATCAAAGATCGTTACTATGGAATTAATGATCCTGTGGCTGATAAACTTCTGAAACGAGCATCAACCATGCCGCGTCTAGACCCTCCTGATGACAAGACTATTACTACACTGTATGTTGGAGGGCTTGGAGATACCATCACTGAATCGGATCTCAGGTGTGTTGGTGAATTTGTATTGCCTTTTTATTTGACACTTTGATTACTGCTCATCTTCAAGTGAGGAAATCTCTCTTGGAAGGAAAAAAAATAAACCTGGTTTTCAGTTTTCCTTAATGGGGAACTAGTTGTTGGGCAAGTGCAGAGACATACCAGCTTGTTGGGGAACAGATAAACAGGCACATTTCAAAAGCTTTGATTAAAATTTCTCTCTTTAAAGATTAATCATCCTTCTGAGCTGTTTGGGATAGTGTGTTATGCTTTTTACAAGGAAGTCCCACAGCCTCTCTGTAGCTAGCTGCTGAGGAAGGCTGCTGCAGTGTTTTTATTGCTCCATAATTGCGCAGAGGGACAAGAGACTTGATTCCTAATGATTAGTCTGAATGATGATGGAGAAAAGAAAGGATCTGAGCATTTCTATTACAGCATGTGATGAGACCCTACTCTGCTATGTACCCTGCTGTTAGGAGGAGTGCGGTTTCATAATCGTATTTTTCTCCTCCACAGAAATCACTTCTACCAGTTTGGGGAGATTCGGACGATAACTGTAGTACAGAGGCAGCAGTGTGCTTTCATCCAGTTTGCCACCCGGCAAGCTGCGGAAGTGGCAGCTGAGAAGTCCTTCAACAAACTCATTGTCAATGGTCGCAGGCTCAATGTCAAATGGGGAAGGTGAGTGTGGGGGAGGAAGGAAGCCATGAGGATACTGCCACAAGGTGTTCTGCTCAGTTGGTGCAGTCTGGATCAGCAGGAGTGGGTGTTATGCTGGAGTAGTTACTGGTTTGGTAAATGGGGTCCTTTTACAGTTTGTTTTTCTTTCAGCAGTGGGATCTGGGCTGAAGATTGCACAAATTGTGTAAACTATTTCCTAGTTGAGGGTTATGGATGAGTTTCTGTAGTTTTGTTTCTAATCCATCTCCTGTAGGTGCTTTTTGCATGCTTTGTACCAGCTGTGTCTGATGTCCTGTGAATTTTTCATCTCTGACTTGAAGCAGTGGATCTGGATTAGATAAAGTGAAATTACTGTGTTGTGAATATCTGCTTATCCTACCTTTTCTCATCCTTGTTCTCAAATTTTTCTCTTGATTTTTAGATCCCAGGCAGCAAGAGGAAAGGAGAAGGACAAGGAAGGTACCACAGAATCCGGGATAAAGCTGGAGCCAGTTCCAGGACTTCCTGGAGGTAAGGGAGTTGTTTTCATCTCTGAAACACTTAGTGCTGACCTGCTTCCCTGAGAGAGGCTGGTGTTAAACCTCTGAGAGCAGTAGCAGAGCTCAGGACAGTAGAGGCACTGGTGAGCCCAGACCAGTTACATACAGTAGGTTTGCAGCAGATCCAGCTGGACTGAAGTTGAGCTTTGTTGAGAAGCAAATTCATGGTGAAAAGATTTTTTTTTTTTTTGGTGATGAGTGAAAAGTTAAAACTGAATTAAAGTTATTTAGGTCTGAGATACTGGCAACCCACACTTTTCAAGGCTTGGTTTATGTTTTCCTAATCCACCGGGCATTGTATGATGGAAAAAGCAAAGCTGGTTTTGAGTGAAGAGAAATGATGACTGTTCTATGTTTCAGTGTGGTCCTGCTGCTCACTGCAGCTCATATGTGTGAGAGTAGCAGCAGTTTGCTGTTGTGGAAGAACTAATTGTGTCTGCTCTCCGAAGGCAGATACCTATATGTATCTTGACAGATTTTCCATAACTACTGTGTACTTTTTGTGCAGCTCTCCCCCCTCCTCCAGCTGCAGAAGAGGAGGCTTCTGCAAATTACTTCAACCTACCTCCAAGTGGCCCTCCAGCTGTGGTTAACATTGCCTTGCCACCTCCTCCTGGCATTGCTCCGCCACCGCCTCCAGGTACTTGTGTTTCCCCTTCAAGTGGGGGTGTCTGACTTTGGTGTTAGACGATCTAGTCCTCCTTGCTCAGCTGTGCTGTAGCACTGATGCGTGCCCTGAGTTGATTTTCCTCATCCCTGATCATACAGTGTAAACCGATGATCTAAAATGAGCTGTCAGCACAGTTTAATTACACTGAGCTGCCTGTTGTGGTATGTATTCACTTGCAAATTCTCAGGCATGTCCGAGATCCCTGTTACTGGTACTAAGACCTACTCAGTGCTTTTGCTGGCTGTGTAAATGCCACATGAACCTGAACTTCAAAGGGTAATTCTGCAGCTGGTTGAATGCCAGCCTATGTTTGGCTGTGTATATATATATCTATCCAGAGACACTTTTTTTTAATGGGATGTCAGACTCTTGTGGATATATTTGCTTTTCTCCCCAGTTGAGTAGAAAGCATTTAGATTTTCATTACAGAGACCTGTCCAGTCCCCCCAGAATGTGTGTTGGGTGAGGATTGCCCCCAGTTGTACTGGGAAGAGGGGAAGGAGTTTGGGGATTTGAAGAATCATGGGAGATGTCCACCTTTCAAAGGCACAGCTGTAAACCAGCTGCTTTCTGTCAGTAGTTTCAAGCAGTAACACATCCACACTGGTTGTTCTGTTGCTTTGTCTGAAGCTGCCAACTTTGTTTCTACAGGTTTTGGACCACACATGTTCCACGCCATGGGGCCCCCGCCTCCCTTCATGAGAGCCCCGGGGCCCATTCACTACCCGTCTCAAGATCCCCAGAGGATGGGTGCCCACGCGGGAAAGCACAGCAGCCCCTAGCACGTCGTGCCACCCTCGTTGTTAAAGTAAATGTTATTTTCTAGTTACCATGGTAGCACCATATGTTGAGCTGTGGGTGAGCTAGAGAAGCCTTATTTCCCTGCTTGCAGACACTGGGCAAGCTGAGCTCCGTGTCTCCGCTAGCTGATCGGATTGTTGATACATCCCAGGTCTTTCATTTAGTGGAAGGGGGGGTTGGGGGGGTGGGGGACAGACAGGAGGGCTGTCGGGGAGTCTGTGGATCAGGTACACCAGAGTCACAGTGCTATCTGTGTATCCCGTTGGCACACTTTTGAAATAAATGTCTGGAAAAACAAAACCAAACCTTCAAGCCCCTTTGATATCCTCAGTCTGAACACTGTGGACTATTTAAATGTAACCGGAGACTCTGTCAGGTAACTAATGACTTATTATTCTAATGGGGTATTAAACCAGGACTGAATAAGAGTTGAAAAACAAGCTTATCGGACGTGCCAAACCCATGGCTTTGCCTTACTAATGCCACAGAATTTTCCTCCCTCTGTTTGCCTGACTTCTTGCTTAAAAAACACCCAACCCAACCTAATCGTGCACATGCTGAGCAAGGTAAGTGTTAGGTCACAGGAGCAGCCCCCAGGTAGCACAGCCTGAGGTGCAGTGGCAGGTTAGCAGTTCCCCTTTTTTGCTTGGTGAGGGCTGTGGGGGGAGGACACGGTGCAGCTGCAAGCTTGTCCAGGGTATGTTTGGAGCACAACTGAGGCTTTCGAGGCCTGTGGATACAGTCTCCTCTTAAATTGTGAACTGTTTCGATAAGACATGAAACTTTTCTTTCTGTGCTCCAACTATAGTGTTTGCCCAGGAGCAGCCGTGTCCTGCATGGAGCCTGCCGTTGAGTAAGATGTATGTACACGTGTCTGGAGGATTTTAATTTATCTGTATGTCAGCTGCTGCTTTCATGCAGTGGATCTGTGGACATCTTTCTGTAAAGCAAAACGTGATGGGACCTGTTCTGAAGCTTCATTTGCTTGTTTTTAAAAAAAAACCCAAACATTAAAATATTTGAATTTTGCAACACTTTGCTTAGACCCTGCTTCCTGGAGCCCAGCGTCTGAGGATTTTGATTTTTATTTGGCTGCTGCCAAAGCCAAGATGCAGAGCAGGCAATGCTAGCAGGTCCACTTTTTGTTTTATGTGTGATGCTGCTGGGCCCTGCTGGGCTGCTGGAGCTGGTGTGGCACAGCAGGGCTGTGGCTGGCAGGCAGGCAGGCTGTCTGTCTCTGCAGAGAGTGCTGGGCTGGGGGCAGAGGGGATCAGTTTAGCTTTTGTCGGGTAAGAGCCGTCCCTGGGCAGTGTTGGAGGACAGGCAGGAGCCTGCTGGTGGATGTGGGAGTGCCACAGTGTTCGCTGCTGCTCTGCCACCAGGGCCTGTGAGCACCGTGCAGACCAATCTCGAATGCAAGCAGGCTTTATGTTACCACAATTTATTTATTATTTCCAGCCAGGTCCCTAGGGGTACACAGGTTCTTCAGCTGATGGACAAAGAGGAGAGAGATGGGCTTGGAACAGGACAGCAGCCGAACATCAGCAATTCTTAATCTTTAAGGAACAGACTGTTTTTCATTCCATTTGCTTGTCCCCTCCTGCTTCTGGGGGAAGGACACAGCGGTGAAAGTTTCCTGCCTGAATGGTGTGTTGTGACAGCAGAATCCCTGTGTGAGATTTGCTCTGCACATCTGTCTGCACGCCATGGCAAATACACTGCCCAAGGGAGCAGCTGTTAACTGAATTTTTGCCACCAAATTTACTTGCCCAGTTTAACAACAGTGGTGGAAAAAGAAACTTTTATCCTGATGCTTCTGCTTTCACAAGATTAAATAAAGGTGACATTAAGAACCTGACAGAAGCAACTCTAGAAAGGCTGTATTAAGCTAAATATTTTTTGTCAGCAGGGTTTTCCAGATATTCTGGTGACTGTCCTGTGGACTGGTGTTAGCTGCATGTCCCACTGTGTCACTGCTGAAAACCTCTGCGTAGTTGAATCCTCACTGCTGATTTTTGCATTCACGGGGAAGCCTGCCCTTGCTCTGGAGTTCTGGCTGCCCTGTTTTTCCTTCCTGCTGATGCTAACATTGCCAGAATACGCTGGCAGGTTCTTCAGACTTGTGCCCTTCTACAGTGGGTCCAGGCAGGGCCTGATCCTTAGTGACCAATTCTCTGAAGCAAATCTGGCGTAAGTGAATCTGAGGGCTTAGACGTTTAAGCAAGGCATGCAAATAGCAGTAGGAAGGGGAAAATACAGCTGCCAAGGGCTAGCCAGTAGCTTGTGGAAACGGCACAAGCTTCCAACTCCCAGCATTCCTCTCCCATAAATCATGGTTGTGCTTTGTTGGTAAACAGGCAGATTCCCCGTTCCTCACTCATTTTTGTGGTCTAGCCAAGGCCAGGGTAAGTGCTTTTAACATGCCAATGCCTCTGGTAACTTGTTTTGCTGCTGCTCTTCAATTATCACCTCCTCTCGCCATCCCGACTGGAATGATAGATGTCAAGTTATCATGAAGATGGAATTTCTCTGCAAAGGCACCAGCTGTCAGAGCAGGTCTTGTGTGAAGAAGCAGGGAGACAGCTTGGTGCATGGCAGCTGGCGGTCCTGCCATTTTCCACGAGGCAGGGCAGAGGACAGTCTGTCCAGGATGTTTTGTAGGGGAACTTACAGGGATCTGCTTGCACTAACGACGAGAGCTTGGCTGGTTAGCTTAGCACTAAATGCCCTTGTGACGATGGCTGGGACGAGGGGAATTCAAAATGGTCCCAGACTTGAGCTTGTTTGAATCCCACTGAGGACAACCTGAGACCACTAGCTTTCAGGAAGAATACTTCCTCCCCTCTCCCCTACCTTGTGAAGTACGTTGGAATCTAGCGAGAAAAGCATCCGTGGCGATGGCGAAGGGAGCGTGTGCACGCTACAGCTCGTCGCTCTCCGGCAGAACCCGCGCCCAGCCCTGTGGCACCCTGTTGAAGTTGGGCCTGTGGGCGATCACCTCCAGGACGCTCAGGTTATCCAGCTCCACGGTGGGCACTGGGAACAGGTCGCTGAGCAGCGCTTTGTCAAACGGGGTGGGAGTCCTGTGGCACGGGAGGAAGCAAAAACCATGTCACGAGGAGAGGTTGTGCATCTCGCAAAAGTGATAGAAAAAGCAAGTCTGGATTTACTAACCAAGCCCAGCAGCAACCTAGTAATGCCTGCAACAAGTGCCAACCCTCCTCTTCCTCCCCAGGATGCTGTGAAAGCCTCTGCTAGCCCAGGGAGGCATTTCTCCTGTGCAGAATCAACTGCAGCTTGAGCTTTGGCAGGCCTGGGGCTTGGTGCTTGCGCATCAGGGGCTGTGCCAGGGAGGGAGGGAGCCTGTTGTTACCTTTACTGTCACCTTTTGATGGCTCTGCCGACAGCAGTAGGGATGCGCTGCACATGAAGGGGGTTAGATTAGGAGAGCAGGTGATGGTGACAACCCCCCGGTCTTTAGAAAGTGACTTGTCCACGATAACTGTGCTCTGCAGAGGGCTGGGGCTGATGGTGCTGCCTCCTGATCTCTCTAGCACATGTGCAGGCAAATGTCTTTCTCTTGGCCCTGGCTCCTGGCTGCCTTTTGGGACAGCTTCTCTTGAACTGTGACTAACAGAAGGAGCAGCGTGGGAGCAAGAGCTGCCATCCCTTTCTGGAGAAATGTGGAAAGGGGCTGGGGAAGAGAATGCCAGCTCCCAAAAAGCCAAGAATGTTGGTTTTGGAGCAGCACATGGAGACTGAGCTATCAACGAGGCAGAGCTGGGAATGTTTGCTTTGGGAAGCACTGCTTGAACATGAGTAACGTGGCACTGTTTTGCAACAAAGGAGAAATATGAGGGGAAAGGTAAATGAGAGAGGTTTGTTCCAGAAACTTTCTCCCTTCTGGAAAAAGACAGTCCTTTCCAAAGCTTGGCTTTCACTCTCTCATAAGACAGCACACTGTAGCAAGGTGGCTGAAGGTCTTTGCATCACAGCCTGAACGTTTAAAGTTGGGAATAAATCAGCCTGCCCTAATGCAGTGGCTGTTGAGTGGTGAACTTGCCCTTGCCCTGTGACCCATGTGAGCTGTGTGGGGATTCACCTAGCTTTAGGCAAGACTTCTGGCTTTTCGCTAGCCAATTTGTTCCAAAAACCTTGTTTTTCTGCAGTTTGGTATTTGATGAACTGCAAAGTGATTTAAAAGCCAGCAGCTTGGAAGATCATGAAAAGCCCAGTTAAATGCAGATTGGCTCTCTGAATCTTCATGCCTCAGTGAAGAATTAGAGGAGGTGGCAAGAGGCTTGGTGTTAAATTAGCATCCATCTGTATTAAATAACAGTTCAAGACTTTAAATAGAAAGGCAGCCTGTGAGAGGGGAGAAATGGTACGGGGTAAAGCATTATTCAAAACATGCCCTTGCTTCAGTCCCTGTCCATAAATAAATAGTGAGGCAGGAACATGGCTAAATGTTGGAAGAAAAGAGCCAAGTGTCTGCAGCAGCTCGTTGTTCTCCTCCTACGGCACCTCCTTGGATGTGACTGCTCCAGGAAAGCTCAAGATGGCTGAGTAGCTGGGAAGGAGACCCCGAGGGAAGAGCTCACGCAGCCCCACGCTTGCCTGTGGGTTCTTGTCCCTTCTGTTAACCCGGCCGCCTCCTCCCTCTCTGCCTCAGCCCCACTCCAGTGAGGACCAGTGTGCTATCGTGCTTTCACTGGTGCGGGAGGGGAAACATGGTGGGGCTGAGTGTGCAGCAGCCTTGTGCTGTGCCCCTCGCCCAGCAAAGCCCCTGGGCTGAGGGGGAGGAGAGTGGCGAAGGGACGGTGGCAGCAGCAGCTCGGCTCTGCTGGTGCTCGGGTTGGTCTCTGCCCTTCGGGATGCCGTTTCCATGCGGAGGGGTTGGGGTCCCCCTCCTGCCAATCAGTCCAAGCACAGAAGTCCTGTCCCCCACGACTCAAATCCCACCTCAGCGGGGGCTCAGGAAAGCTTCTGTCTGCAGAGGTGCAGTGGCAAATGGTCTGATGGGGAGCGGTGCTGTGTCCCAGTAAGGAGTTCCAGTGGGAGCTTGCCTACTGGAAGGTGACTTTGGGCAGGCTACCAAGGCTAATGTACTTTCATCCTCATGAAAGAAGTTTTCAGTGAGGAGAACCTCAGTTTGCACATTCCCTGGGATGATGTTCACCTTAAAAGTTCAGTTCTCGTTATTCTACCTTGGGCTGCTGGTGCTTTGCTACCACCAGATCTCCATGTCCTGGAAAGGAGATTTTCCTTGGCAGTCTCCATGCCAGGGTCCCAACCTTGACCCCAGTGTAATTTGGAGGTGCTGCAGGGCATGGAGCTTGACAGGCTGAGCCACCAGAAACTCCCTGGCCTGGAGACGTCAGTCTCAAGCAGGTGTTTGGAAGGAATCTGGTGACCTCTTAGCACCTTGTGGGAAGATTAACCTTATACCCCCACCGCTTCCAGCAGCTGCTTGGATACCTTAAGAAAATTAGGAGAGAGGAGAGAGACTTGGCAGTGTCTGTGCCATTCCTCCCCTCAGCCTAGAGCTGAGCCCGGCTGCGAACAGCAGCCATTCCTTCTCCAGGACCATGTGCATGAGAATTAGTCCTCCCAAATTTCATCCCTGAGGCTACCCAGTGAGATCAAGATGCTTAGGGCTGTGTGAGCCCAGTGGTGGAGCCGAGAGGAGATCTGGGGAGCTGCTGGAGGCAGGACCTTTGCAGAGGAGCCACGGAGGAGCTCCTGAGCAGGAAAAGAGCAACTTTAGCCCTTGCTGCTCCCCTGGGGTTTATAAAGCGAGCATGGACCATCGCGTTTCATTGCCAGGATGGTTGGTGCTTCTTGCAGCTGAAGGGCTTGGCCAAGGGCTGGACAGGCTGGCGGTGCCTGCTCTTGGCCGCCGTTACCTGTTGAAGCTCCTGAAGTCCCATGGAGAGGGTCTCGTGAGCAGCTGGTTCTCACCATGAACAGCATTGTCCTTGTCACGGAGGAGATCCTGCCATGGGGATCGGTAACCCTTAGGGATGGCAGTGATGTTGAACTTCTCCGGGGGGACTTCTTTGAGGGGGCCTGAGTATCCTGCATGGGGGGAGAGACAGTGTAGGCTGCTGTGGCTGCAGCTGGGCTGGGGCAATGTGTTAAGGAGGGGAGAGGAGGCTGGGAACTCATGAAGGACCTGCTGCTGGGGTCAGGATTACATATATATATATATATAACATAAATATTTATATTTCTATATATAAAAACTCTGTGGGAGAGTTTTGGGGAGGACCCTTCAGCAGGCGGCAGCTCGTTTCCTCCAGCCCCAATTACTGAGGTTGCAACAGCCTTGGCTTTGGGATGTAAGTGGCATTTACCCGGGGCCAGAGCATCTGGGTTGAGGATTTTGCTCATCTGCAAGACTTTCTCTGTCTTCTTGGGCACTGCAGGGGGGCCGCCCTGAGGCGATGCTGCCACGTGGAGCTCGGAGTGATAACTCTGCTGGCCGTCAGCATCTTCCCCTGCCTGTGGAGGGGACAGTCAGCGAGCACAGGGAGCTCCCCCTGCCCTGGTCAGGACTTGGGGGGCTGCCGAAAGCACCTCAGAGCTTCCTCCACCTACTCACCGTCCAGTCGTTTGCTGTTCCCTCTGGGTCACCTTTCTTTGTGCGGTGTAAGCCACCTGCCCCTGGCTCTGGGAACTGCAGGAGGCGAGGAGAGGGGTTGGTGGGTGCAGGGGGGACCAGTGCCATCCCCTTGCTCTTCAGTGGATGCAGAACCTGACGCTTGCCCATCTCCATGCCCAGCCCACCAAGCCATCTCTCCTCTCCCTTCATCTCGGTGTAGCGGGCAGCTGAGCATGGCTGCCCTGCTGAGAGACCCCCAGCCCTGCCGGGAATCGCTTCCCTGCAAAGGCTGTGAGAGCTGGGAAGGGCTGTCCCGCTCGGAGCCAGGGGGTGAGCTACAGACCCACCTCCTTGTAGCCGCTGGGATGCTCAAAGATGAAGCGCTGCATCCGCCTCTGGCGCTGCTGGAAGAGCTGGGAGCCGCGGTTGTTCTGCAGGGAGAGCTCCTCGATCATGAGGTCCTGTGGCGTGCTCATCTTCTTGCCCAGGTCCAGCTGGGGCGCTGGAGAGGCCGGGGGAGAGCACAGCAACAGCTGAGGCTGCTGCAGTGCTGGGGACCCCCGTGCCCAGTGCAAGGACAGCGTGTGCCCTCGCCAGGGTCCCTGACGCATGGCTCGGCTGTGTGCCCATGCCAAGAGCTGCACCAGGGACTGGTGTTTCCTCGGTGTGGGGAATTGTCAGGGAGTTTTCTCAGCTCCAGAGGCTCAAACAGCCTCTCCTGCCCCTGTGCATGGACCCCTCCAGCCTTTGACATGCAATTGCTGCCCCTTGGGGCTGTAGTACAAGAGAGGACCAAGAAAGCAGGCACAGTGGCCCTGGGGAGCAGGACCAGTGGCTTCAACCAGAGCTGGGTTTGGCCCCTAGGCAGGTGCAGCACTGCCCTGGGACCAGCGGCACCCCCAGACCCCCTTACCGTCTTCAGGGCCTGATCTCATGATGGTCATCACTTGCTGCCGTGCTCCTGGGGCAGCTCTGTGGGAGAGGGATGGATCCTGCCTGGCTGGAAGAGAGAGGCAGCCCCGAAGTGACAACAAGCATGGGGAGGTGTCAGCCCCAGGTGTGCCACAGGGAGAGACCAGGCTTTGGCTGAGCATCTCCCCCAGAGAACATCATCCCTGAACACCCCCCCTGGCCAGCATCATCCCTGAACACCCCCCCTGGCCAGCATCATCCCTATGCTACTCTCCATTCCCTTCAGTAGATGTAGGGAAATGTCCAAAGCATACCACCTGTCAGCCCCTGCTTATCATCTTTTCTCTTTTCCTTTATTTAGGGCAGAAAACATCCCCAGTTCTGTCTTTGCCCACAGCAAGCTGGTGTCCTCACATCCTGAGCCCCCTCAGAGCAGCAGCCACTGACTGCAGCCTGCCGGGCAAGCAGGGACCCTGCCTGCCCCCCGCCAGCACCTCCGCCCCAGCAGAGCTATTTTCAGCTGCTGGCCCCAAGTGCGGGGGCTGCAACCCTGACCCTGCCGGGGAGCTGGTGAGCCCAGCCAGCAGCGAGATGGGGCGCGGGGGCACTGTCCCCACTTACAGGGCTGGACTGCTCCTTAGCTTCCAGCTTTATGGGGGGAAGGCAGCTGGAGCCCGGCTCTGGCCTGAGCCCCCCGGGCTGCCCACCCACAGCAGAACCCTCCCACACAGCTGTGGCATTAGGCTCAGCCCTGTTTGATGCATCTCACGTCCCTCTGCTCAGGCTGAGGCTGTGCACCTTTCCCGAAGAACCCTGGAGAGCAGGGAGTCCCCACAGGTCCCCAGCACACAGCTCCCTGCCAGCTGAATTCAACATTAACCTTCTGCACGGCGAGCCTGGGACCTGCACCCCATCCTTTCCTGGATGCCCCCTCTCTGGAGAGACCATACCCTGACCCCCACGGTGGCAGTGTCCCCATCGCCAAGGCTGGGATGTCCCCAAGCCCCATGCACCCACCCACTTGCTGACCCCAGCATGGGACCCCACCTCCCCTACCTGGTCAGGGGATGGCCCGTCGCCAGGGACTGAAGATGCTCTCCTGCTGTGCTGGGGATGAGGCCAACGCCAAGCTGCAGCCACCAGCACTCAGTGGCTCTAGCTGGCCCTCTGTGGCACCCCCAGGCTCCCTGCTGCTCGCCCCAACCCCTGCTGGGCTCCAGCCCAGATGCCAACGTCCGGCCACGGGACAGCAGTTATTTCTGGCTGAGAAAGGGGGCGGAGCGGGTCTGACCCTTGGGGACCAGTAAGCTGTCACCCTGGCATGGAGCAGGACTGACCCTTGGGGACTGGGATGCCACCACCCCGGCACAGAGCAGGGCTGACACTTGGGGACTGGGATGCCACCACACTGGCATGGAGCAGGGCTGACACTTGGGGACCAGGATGGTGGCCATGCAGCAGCAGCAGGAGGTGGCCATGTGGCACATGTGCCCAGGCCACCTCAGGGACAGATTGGAGCCAGGCAGGCCAGGCCGGGTGGGATAACGGCAGTTTATTTCTGAGTTACAACTGTGTGGCAAAGGCAGGTTGTGGTGACTGATGGAGTGGGGGGG